CTTCCGACTGCAACCCCATCAGATTTCCCAGATAAATATATATATATATATATATATATATATATATATATATATATATATATATATATATATATATATATATATATATATATATATATATATATATATATATATATATATATATATATATATATATATATATATATATATATATATATATATATATATATATATATATATAATAATAATAATAATAATAATAATAATTAAACTTAATTTCTGCTTGTAAACACAGATGCTTAACGTTTCGGAAAGTTTATCTCTTTCCGTCGTCGGATGCAAAAAAATAAAGAAAAAGAAAAAACTATATTATATATAGTTTTATATATATATATATATATATATATATATATATATATATATATATATATATATATATATATATATATATATATATATATATATATATATATATATATATATATATATATATATATAGTTATATATTATATATAGTTTTTTTTTCTTTATTCTTTGTATTTTTTTGCATCCGACGACGGAAAGAGATAAACTTTCCGAAACGTTAAGCATTCGTGTTTACAAGCAGAAATTAAGCAGAAGTGTTTACAAAAAAATAACTATTTTATTTTGTAGACTTTCTTGCAGTGCAGTGGCGCAATACCCATAAAGGATTTTTTTGGAGAAATAGAGTATTTTTGTGTTTTATTTTATGTTAAAGTATTTTTTTTATTTTTGACTTTTTAATGGGGTCAATTATTGACTTCCCTAATTATTTTAGAGAATAATTCTATTTAGGTTTATTGAAGAGCATTAAACCCCACATTCAAAAGAATAACTTTAGATATTTTTGATTAGCTCGTTTACGAGTTATCGCCGATTTCTTTCTAAATATTTCTCCTTTCTTATGGCCCTTTATTTACTTATGAGTACCAGTCAAGGTAAAAGATAACTGTCAAATGAAGTTGTCATTTCAGAAATTTACCTATTTAGTGCTTTATTATTATTGGAAACTCATTCCTACATTGGAAATCTTAAAAATGTATTTATAAATACAAATTAATATGAATTAAAGTAAAATAAAGTAATCAATTGCAAGGTTAATTATAGTATTATTACAATATTTAATAACTTATTAATTAGGTATTATTAAATTGTTAGAACTTTAGGATTTAAGATGTTCAAATATTCCTCCATCGACTGCTAGACAATAACCCAGGCGATCATAAAATTATCTTCTTACATTCGCTAGTTGGTAAACTGAAATTCTATTGCATTCGGCAGAAATAGCATTTTTTAACTCGTCTAGATTTGGGTATTTTTTATCCTTGTATATCCTGTTTTTTAAATGGCCCCAGAGAAAGAAATCATTTGGCGAAATATCAGAAGATCTTGCTGGCCAATTTACTGTATGATTTAGGCCAATAACGTTTCCGTTAAAACTATTGTCTAAATATTCCCGAACAGCCAGGGTACTATGTGCCAGGCAGCCATACATTTGGTACCAAACTTCCTGATTTTCCCTAGCGGCATCGCGTAAGGCATGTAAAATATGATTTTCGAGTAGTTCCAAATAATATTCTGCATTTAAATTTCGCGTAAGAAATAATGGCCCGATAATATTGTGTTCGAATATCACTGCCCAAACATTTACTTTCTGTGGATATTGCGTCCTTGTTTCGACAAACCTGTGTTGTTTTTTTTTGTTCCAATATCGATAATTTTGAACATTGCCTTCATTATTTAAGGTAAACGTGCATTCATCAGTGAAACATATGTTTTTTTAAAAATTCCCTATCCGTGTTTGCTCTTTCCGTCATATCAAAACAAAACGCCTGCCGCCGTATTTCGTCCCCATCTCGTAGCTCTTGGAGCTTTTCATATTTGAAGGAATAGTATTTATGTCGTTTCAAAATTCAAAACACTGTAGTGTGATCTATTCCTATTTCATCCTCAAGTTTCTTTGTGCTGATCTTTCCATCGTTCTCTTCCACGCACAATAAAACTTCCAAGTCGGTATCATTTATTGCATCTTCTCTTTGTTCCTGCCTTGCTTCACATCTGCAGTTATTTATTAGGGTACCTTTGGTCACAAATCTCTAGATATTCCTTGCGATTGTAGATTTTCCAGGTATCGGTCTATTCGGATACAGAGCAGCAAACATGTCCGACACCTTTTGATAACTATTTCCTTGATAATACCATTTAATCATCAATACTTTTTTTGGGTAGTGTAATTCATGGCTGATATTTTCGATGTAGATATGAGTTTTTAATGATAATAATAAAGCACTAAATAGATAAATTTCTGTAATGACAACTTCATTTGACAGCTATCTTTTACCTTGACTGGTGCTCATAAGTAAATACAGAGACATAAGAAAGGAGAAATATTTAAAAAGAAATCGGCGATAACTCGTAAACGGGCTAATAAAAAATATCTAAAGTTATTCTTTTGAATATGGGTTTTAGTGCTCTTTAATAAACCTAAATAGAATTATTCTCTAAAATAATTAGAGAAGCCAATAATTGACCCCATTAAAATTTACACGGGATTTCCTATGTATGTCTATTTTTATATAGGCGGTTCATCTCAACAAATTATTTTTATATTAAATCATATTCTATTTAAGTTATTTAACTTTGTTTGGTAACTTTAGTAAACAACAGTAAACTACGTTTAGTAATTGAATTAGGTTATTATATAAAACTTACTTTTGCCTGGTTTGAATATTAATTTAATACCAAAACAGCTATGCAAAACATGCTTCTATTTAGCTCGAAGCATAATATTCTGCATAGAGCATGGCTAGTCTGAATTTCAAAACTTTGGTCCTCGAACTATAGTAAGGTTAGTTAATTAATGCTTGCCCAAAAGTTCGTAACAACTAAAAAATATTATTGAGTTATTGAAAATTTTATATACAGTATGTCCCCGGATTATCTTTACAAGAGGGAAAACTTTTTTATTATTAACATTTTCAGAAAAATACATTCTTCATGAAAATTTTTGCTTGTTCGAAAATGATTAATTCCGTTTATACTTTTAGAAATTTCCATACCATTTTAGGGAAAAACATGAAAATCAAATGTTAATTTTGAAAAGGTCATATATTATCTCCCCAGATAATTTAATGTAAAATTTGTATTAGACTTTTTTAAATTAGTAATTTTTACTTTCTCCGTAGCCAAAAATGATTTTTTTGCTTCGATAAACACCTATTGAGTAATCGTATCTTTCCCAACAGGAAGGTTCTTGAACCATTTACCCATTTTCCAGGAAGGATTTGCAGTTAAAAACAATCTTGGAACATTAATTAATTTTCTTTTTTCTATAAATTTTTTGAATAGCCTTACTGGACATATATCCGGTTGACCTCTAATTATAACCAGCCATTTTGACGGAGCAAAAGGTTTATCTCCTCCTTGAGTGGTTTTATCGAATATGGGGTAGTATTCAATGCGACCGGTGGGTTGTCCTATATTATCAATATCATCTTTAAAATAAAAAAAAAACATTTTCCTCCCTCTTTTCCTCACCATGCCAATTCGTAGGATAATACAAAAAATATTTTTTTGCAAACCATCGTGACATTCTTCATTACAATTTCGTACCATCAAATTGAATTCTTCGTATTTGAGTGCCTTAGAGCTTTCATTTCTTTTTAGAGGGTCCATATGCAATTCCTTCCTTTTGGCACTTTTTGCCTCTCGGGATATTTTAAATTCGGTGTCAGTAAAAGGATTAAATTTAATATTATATTCTTTTTGGTATTTTTCCACTAATAGCTTGGCTGTTACATTTCAAATAGTTTTTACCGTAAAATCATTATAGTCCTGGCCGTTTTTCCTTTTCATATTAAATGCCCAATCGGTCAAAATATTAGCCAGTGCCGAGATTGAGATGTTCGCATACAGAATGTAGTTTCTATCTTTTATAAAGTCCATAAACTGTTTCCATACATACTGGTGATTAATTATAATGTTTTTTCTGCTTATTTTCTCGTTTTTTCTTCAATTGCACTTAAAGAATCGTTTCCAAATCGAGACATTTTTAGAATACCTCAAAGAATATACCTAGCTAGAAAAAGAATGGAATCTGCCATACTGAAAAATGGTCCTACAGAAGTGGCGCCATCTATTGAGTAGGGCTTGTTTTAAGCGGATCGAAGCGCGGGCTTTTTAAATGAGCGTATTTATTGAATTTTACTCTAAAATAATTAAATTTGATTGTTGGGTCTTCAACAAATTCAACAATACTAATAACAAGTATCGTTGTGTATAAAAAATAAGATTTAACAGTATAATTTATACAATTAGTAAATAAAATTAAAGCCAAACATATGTAAATATTATTTATTTTTTAGAGTTTTTATTTATAAGTCAAATATTTAAACATCGTTTATTATAATAAAACAAGACCAACGTAATACACCCAAAGTTTTGTAAATGGAGTAAATATAAATAGGTACTTAAATGATGGCAAAAATACCTTACCTTAAAATACCATTATATTTTTAGGGCCACATAAAAAAGGAATTGTCTAATTAAAACACATATAACAAATTATAGTTTGAAAAACGTTTTGATAATCATTTGATAATATTATGATTGGCGCTATGACAATATTTTTTGAGAATTTGACAATAGTATGACAATGGCCGTTGGAAACTATGGGAACTACAAAAAAAATTGATTTAACGCCATCTGGCAGTAACTAGTAGCAACTTCTTAACCTAAAAATTAATTGCACTACCACCTAGCGCCTGAGGCAGGAACTATTTTATTTGAAATTTCCGTGGAAACGGTGGAACCGCTTTTGCTATTTCACTTTCCCGCCCCTGGAATACCTATTAAAAATAATTTACGTTTAAGTGACAAATGTGTCATTGTCACTTAGACATTCTGCGAGAAATTTTCGCCGGGTGATTTTCGATTTTAGTTTTCACCGAAAATTACCCGCTTCGTATAGGATTTTTTGTACATGAGTGAAATATTCACCGTTATTATTTGTTTTGCAGCGACTTGGCAGCCAGGAACATTCTGATAAACGAGAACAAGGTTCTGAAAATATCAGACTTCGGCATGGCCAGGATAGGGGTGTACGTGAGCAGCGCCCAAAAAAGACAACCATTGCGCTGGATGGCGCCGGAAGCGCTCGAGAGCAGGATGTGCGACAACAAGACTGACGTTTGGTCCTTTGGAGTCGTTCTGTGGGAAATTGCAAGCCTGGGTAAGGAAATACAATTAAAAATTTCATTAATAATAATAATGAAACCAATGTTCAAATACGTACCTCTAAAATACATATAAAGATAATTCAAACAATTTGTAAATACATGAAAACTAATCTTAAAATATACACTCAGATGCAAAAAAACGCAACGGAGTAATTTTTGGTAAAGTGTTATATTTTTATTATTATTAGTTCTATCTTAATATTTTTTTAGCAAGCTTTTTTAAAACACCCTCTTTAACATTTTCGTGTGTAAATTTTCCTGAAATATAATTTTGCTGTCAGAACCATGTCTTCCGAGCATTTTGTTTTTTGGATCATGTAAATACGTGCCTTGGTTAATTTTTAAGAGCGAAAATTTGCCACCAAAAATTTGCAATTTTTTCAATTATCATTTCTTTTTGAAAATACTTTTAAATATGATAAGGCGGCTTTAGTGATTATTGTGAACTATATACTGCTGTATGTGAACTGTCCATCATGTTGGACATTTGGAAAATGCTTGGCAGGTTGAGAGGTCGGGAAGCGGTACCAGCTTTATAAAATGAACTTCGCTTGGTTCTTAGAGAACAATGGCAAAATATTACGCAATATGATATATGCAGCCTCAGTGACAGTATAAATGAACGTATACAGGCCCGGCAATGAATCTCTAGGCATAGGAATTACATGCATTGGAATGAAACGCCTATAAAAAGTCTATGCTTAAACAGAGATGGACAACAACTTCCCCGTTTCCACTTCCACTACGACTGTCTACTTAGACAAACTCCAATAAGATAATAAATTTTGGAAATTCCGCCACCTCCCATCCACTCATGATACCCATCTCCCTGCCCTTTATTTACCGCCATTATTTTATTTCCCTTCCCGCGCCTCCGCACCTCGCTATTCCGACTCCCGTCAGTTCATCACAGAGTTGCCAGGTCTACCGGTTTCGTCTGTAAGCTACCGATCTACCGATTTAAAGAAAAATCTAACGATATATTCAACTGCGTCTTTAGTTTTTTACAATAGAAGCACTTTTAAAAAGCTGACTTATTTGACTAAAAATTAAGCGACTGCCGCGTTGGAATCTGTATAATCTGACTTTATTATTGTTTCATTAAATTTTATTTAGTAATAACACACATACAGGTCATCGTTCTGTCTATTTGCAGAGTTACAGAGATATTCCTAAAAATCCTTATTACTCCTTATTAGGCGCGGTATTGGCGACATGCCCGAAGAAGTTGATATCTTTTGAAAAGATTTTATTTCATTCATCTACTAAAGTTGAACCCATATTTTCCCCAAAAATGTAAACAAAAAACAAAATTTAAGTTAAGAAACAACCTAAATTCGGACAAATATTTTAGTGATTTTCTCGTCAAAAAAATATATTAATATGAAAAAGAGTTGAGAGTTGCTACAGCTTTCCCATTGAAATGAAATTAATTTTAGATATCACTGATCAAAATTTGTACAAAGGTAAAAAGTGACTGCTACACTAATTTGTGACTGCTATCCCTACTTGTTATAGTTTTATATGTTTTTATTAATATATTAATATTATTTAATTCAATATTTTTTTTAATATTAAATAATATACCTAGCTATTTCTAATTCTTGTTATATTTATTATATTTGTATTTTATTTGAGTGATCTATTATTACGACACATAGGAATGCTAATTTTGGACTTAAATATTATATTTTATTTCGTTTCTGTACTTTTAATTTTTGTTGAAGATCTACCGAGAATTTTGTTCTCGTATGGAATTATAATCTAACAAACCCGGCAACCCTGTTCGTCTACTCCTTATAAAGTTTTTTTCGGCCTAATTCCTTTGTCACAGCCGCGGCTTTGTGAAGCGCCGCCGCCGACCGACTGTGTCGGGGCGACTGCTAGGAAGATCGTACAGTATTGCCATTTCATAGAATTGCACTTGCTATTTTAGAAATGATATCAAAGTTTTGCATGTTACTTTTCGTTTTAGAAAGAAGTTATGTGCCTAGAGAAAACATTCGTAAAATTGTTTCGTACTTTATTTAATATTTCATTAAGTAGGCAAGATAATGGGATTAGAAGATTTAGGATTTTGACAAGCCAACATAATTTCGATTTAATTGAATGGCAACACTGTCCGTCCTGTTTCTATTTTTTCGATTCTGTTCTATTAGTAGGCGGTAGCTCCCACACAAGCGTCTTAAAGACCCGCCCGGTGCCCCCTCTCGCAGGGGCTCTCTCGTCGTATCACTTCTATGATCACTTCCCCTATACGATGGTAGGGAAAAGACACTTTATCCGTCTCTGTTGCACTGCAGTGTATTTTGCAGCCTTACCATCTTTTTTTATCGCATTGAAAACCTCCTATTGCTAATATTCCTTTGCCAGTAGTGTATAGGCAGTTGCAGCACCTAAGGGAGGCTATACAAAGTATTAGGGTATTTTTTACAATATTTTTCTGTTTGTATACTTGAGTATTTCAGAAGTTTTCTTTAATATCGTTAGTTCTGTTATAGTAATGAATGTTTATTAAAACCAGAACTGTATCGTTAGTTTTTTTTTAATTTAGTTTAAAGTACCTATTCAATGCAGCATAATACCACGTTACGGCAATGGTCACCAAAACCATCTCGTCATATTAAAAAATTACATCAAGAAGTAATAATAATTGAAAAAATTGCAAATTGATTGTGATTAGTTCATTTCTCTCTTAAAAATTAACCAAACCATGTATTGACCTGAATAAAAAAACAAAATGGTATCATGGTTCTGACCGTAAAACTATATTTAAAAAAAATACATAAGAAATTATCCCACAGCGTGTTTTAAAGTTAGGGTAAAAAATAACCTTTGGTTAAACCTGTATAATATGCCAAATACTAAAGTTTATAAAAAACTTAGTTTACGAATTAAAGTTGATATAATTATATACAGTTTGCTAAAAATTTCATGAAAATTGGGTTAAAAATAAAAAAATAATAACTCATTATCAGTAACTGTTAATTTTAGTTCTGACTCTAATTATATTCTTCTAGCATTATTGCCTTTGGACAAAACCAATTATAGCATAAAAAATAACATTTAAGTTCAAAAAGCCTAACATATCCGTAAAAGTTCTAAATCTCTGTCAATTCAAACGTCAAATAGAACCGGCAAAAACGTCATCAAACGTATACATGGATAGTATTATACGCCTTCTTGCATATTTTTATATCAAGATAATAATATAGTAGTGGTGAGCAAATGCAAGATCAAGACCAAGTCTTCCTTTGTCTTTTGTCTTGGTCTTGACCTTGCGCAAGACCCTTGCAAGTCTTGTATTTTTTTAATATAGTTTTTCTAGATGTACAGGGTGGGTCAAATTCGACGCTTTTAAATGGAAACACCCTTTTCTATAGGAGATAGACAAAAACTAATATCGGTGTCTGGAGCTCAATTTTTGTCAAAAACATGATGGTGAAAACCGCATATCGATATCTGGTACCGTTCCGGAGTTACGGGGTGTTTTTCAAAAATATGCATTTTTGACAAATCGCTGTAACTTTTTTGCTATGGAAAATTTTGTATTTTTGTGAAAACATTTCCAAAGCACCTTTTTACATAGAATATGATGGTTTAAGTATAATTTTTTTAAAATTAATAATTTAAGAATTATCAACAGAAAAATTGATTTTTTATATGGGACACCCTGTATATTTTTAATTTATTGAAAAGAATTTAAAATTACCTCTCCAAAAATATAACACACTTGATATTTTACTCGATTCCTCTTCGAGATATAGAGTATATAAAAATTCGCTCGCTTTAAATAAGTAGGCTTTGAACGGCACCGGCTGTAATGCAAAAAAATTCCAGCTGTGAGCATCAATTAAAACGAAAGTGATATTTGCTATGAGAGATGCAGAATTTTATAACAATTTAAAATATATTTAACCAACATCAACACATTTAAACTTCTTCTGTTATGGACAGACGGGGCAGTTTTTGAACATTTCTCGCGGAATTCATTAACTCAGTGGGGGTGAAAGATACCCTCTCATAACTGCTAAGTATTTCTAATTCTTGTCTAGGATTATACGGAAGAATAAGGAACTTTTATTCTTCCGCAAATATATCCATAGGATTAGATCCATGTCGTCAGGCGACCTCGACGGCCAACGGCTGGGATCTTGGTTAGCTATTTAATTATTCTTGAAATTAGCTGCAAAAATTTGCTGATAACTTCAGCGTTGAGAGGCGTTGCGTCGTCTTGCTAGAAAAAATGTGTTTCCGAGTTCCATTAAGGGCATGTCATCAATAAGGGGTCCAAAGCCTACTAGTTAAAAGTGGCGAACTTTTAAAAATTCTGTATTTCGAAGGAAATTATAACAAAATATCAAGTGTGCTATATTTTTGGAAAGGTAATTTTAAATTATGTTCAATTAATTAAAAATATAGAGGGTGTCCCAAATAAAAAATCAATTTTTCTGTTGATAACTCTTAAATTATTAATTTTAAAAAAATTATACTTATACCATTAAATTCTACGTAAAAAGGTGCTTTGGAAATGTTTTCATAGAAATACAAAATTTTCTATAGCAAAAAAGTTTCAACGATTTGTTAAAAATGCTCATTTTTGAAAAACACCCCGTAACTCCGAAACGGTAACAGATATTGATGTGCGGTTTTCACCATCATATTTTTGATGAAAATTGAGCTCCAGACACCGATATTAGTTTTCGTCTATCTCCTATAGAAAAGGGTGTTTCCATTTAAAAGCTTCGAATTTGACCCACCCTGTACTTTCTACATAAAACATTTCTAAATAAATAATATTTTTAGTAATTTAATGCAAATAAAACTTAAAATGGATTATTAAAACACTACTTGTAATAAATTAAAACAATAATTGGGAACAATTAGTAATTTCTTATATCATATAAACGTAAAAAAGCAAGAAGTGCATATAAACGTAAAAGCAAGAAGTGACTGCAAAAGTGTTGCATGGCTTGATCTTGGTCCTTTGCAAGTCCTGTCCTGCTCGGGCTTTGTCTTGGTCTTGCACAGGCTCATCACTAGTGATAACACAATTCTACAGTTCTCAAATTTAGAAGCTGTACAAATTTCATATGTTCAGGTATGCATGTAGAAATCTTAAATTGGACGTGTCTATTATTTGTTTTAGGTGCTTTTCCCTACAAAAACCTAAGCAATGAAAGCGTAATTATCCACATTAAAGAAGGTAAAAGACTGGAAAGACCCCAAACGTGTACAGACCAGGTTTACAACCTCATGAAAAAATGCTGGCAGCAGCATCCAGATGATCGGCCAACTTTCGAAGATATTTCCAGAGAATTGGATCCAACCAGAGGAAAGATATACGTGGATTTCAGCAAAATATCGCCCAAATATATATTCCCTCCAGCACAGGAAGCAGTGGATTAGCACGACAATAGATGATAAGTTAGGTTATGATTGAACTAGAGTTCTTTGGGACCCAAAAATCTATATAAGATTTTATATAAGTTGAACATACCAATAATACAGGTACTAATAATGGGATATGACAAAGACTTACGACATATAGTCCTAATAAGATGTCTATGATTTTTTTCATAGCAAAGTGGCAAGTCAGAGAAATAGAATTAGTTAAATGAATAAAGCTTGATTTTCATGCATCCCATATTAATTTTATTGGTTGAATTTAAAAGCTTCGATTGGTTAACTGTTTCTAACCAATCGAAGTGCTTAAATTCAACCAATAAAATTAATATCGTATCATCGTATCGTCGGACAACGGATGCATGAAAATCAAACTTAAACGGCGCAGAATATTTCATATTAAAGTATGAATTTATTTGATGTCAGAATTTAGGTTTTGTTTTACGGGGAACTTATACCTAAGTGCTGGTATTTTGTACAGGGTGAGTCAACTATAAAGTCCATTATCTCATTTGTTTCGAGATTTACAAAAAAAAATTCAGGGTGCTTCAAAAAAGTGTGGCGTATAAAACATATGTTTTTTTAAATATTTTAAGATAGAGCTAGCAAAACTTTTTTTTTATTTTATTTTTAGATTCTGCATAAAATTTTATCCTTAATTTTTTTTATATACCCATACCATATTTTTTATCCCCTAATAAGATATACAGGTTGGTCCGAACTGTATTCCGGAAACTTTGGCAGCATATTCTGCAGGTAAAAATAAGCAAAAAAGTTCATATAAATGGATGACCATGGATGATAACTGGTTTTAAGAGTAATAACTTTTCGTCCGTACCTGTATAAACTAGTGAGTTTAAAAATGTATATTTACGACGTTTTCTACGTAAAAAAGGTCTCTTGGTAAAAATCGCTACGAGTAATGGTTCTCGAGATTTTTGGAATGGAAATTAAACACGTTGGCTAAATAGTTCTTAAACTGAAATCATAAATTTGAAATGTTATTGAGCCAAAAGTTCAACAGAAACTGCTTTACTCTCATTCTTTAGAAGAAAAACTTATGATTAGTTTAAGAAAATAAGAAGTGTCTAAATTTCTCATTTCACATGTTTATTTTTAGTCAATAATGACATGTATTGACTATTTACATTTTAAATATCTTGAGAACGGTTGCTTGTAGCGATTTTTTACCAAGAGACATTTTTTACGCAAAAAATCACGAAAATGTATATTTTTTCACTAAGTAGTTAAAACCACTGAATGAAAAATATATATGAGTATAATACAGGTACGGAGAAAAAGTTATTACCCTTCAAATGATTTAAAACACGTGTAGGTGGCGCCCCCTACAAATAGGAGTCATATTGATATCAAAATCAAATTTCTCGCGTCAAAAAACTCCCAGACACCAATTTTCATCTAAATATTGACTCCCAGACACCAATTTTCATCTAAATATTGACGTTACTTCAGAAATTATTTGGAAAAAAACGAAATAAAAAACAATTTCTGTAATATTTCAATTTGTTTAAAAAGCGTTAGATTTCAGTGTGGTAATAATTGTAAGTGTGTGACGCCATTGTTTATAAAGTTAGACTATTAAAATATATGTATATACATAATAATTTTAAAATATGTATCTTACCCTTTTCTATAATTTTAATATTTAACATTTTTTGTAAACCTCGAAACAAATGAACTTTATTCTATCGTTAACTCACCTTGTACACAATCGTCGGAAAATAATGTATATTACATTTATATAACAAACAGAAATATAAAGTTGAACAAATCAATAAATTGAAGGATGTCATGCTGGGAAATGAGAGCTAGTATGTCCTTTCTCCTAACCAAAGAACAGTTTAAAGAAAGAAAAATGGATAGATAAAAAAACCGAAATCATTATTATAAATTATTTAAAACTATTAATCGGATATTGTTTATTGAGATCTAGAGATTATTCCATCCGATATTGTTGAAGAGAAATTTACATTTATTAAGTTTTTTAAACTATAAAACATAATGTTGTATATTTTTTTAAATGTGGTAGACAACGATTCAGTATTGAAAATAAAAAAAAAATCGGACTTCCATTGTCTTTATTTATTTTAATTAAGACAACGTCACAACACGATCAAGTTTAAACTAAACTAACTCCCACAAAACACATATACAGAAGAAGTGCTAACGCCCTGTTAAATATTGGGAAGTGAAATTGACGTTTAAATTTGACACTGTTGACAAGCCGACTGTTATTAGCGTAAATATGTTTAATATCAATATCAAATATACAACAGAAATTAATTTCTCCACAAAAAAATAATAAAATTTAAAGAATAATGTTACAAGTACAGATCAAGAGAGAAAATTATTTATATAACAAAACTGAAAAAAAACGACATCCTAGATGGCTCAGAAATCAAGATATATATCATCGTTTTGAAAGTAAAATTATATAGGAAATGTCATCGATCATAATTTTTAAACCAACTGGACGATTATTTCAAACATACTAAGTGGAAAGAAAAAAATCACCTTTCTGTTTTGTACTATGGTCCGTTTCTTCCGATGGCTCATCTCGTCGATATTTAGAAAGGTATCCATAAAATATATATTTTACTATCGGTCCTGGGATGAAAAAACATAAAATTCAGTTTGATTTGATGATTCTTTTCTGTTACCTAAACCAGGAGAATGACAATGAGCATGTTAAGATGAAAAATAAATATTCATCAACACTTACCTACACGTTAGTCCGGGGAGTTTTGTCAAAAACCTATATTTGCCTAAATAATTTATGTATTAAATTTGCAAAGCAAACTGCAGCGTGTAAACAAAAGAAATAAAATGGCAACAAGTCAACGTCAACGACCCGACAAGGAAACAAGTGGTGTTTGAATGACAATGTCACTATGTTATGTCACTAAAAATGGTTTGTCTCCTTTCAACGCACGCTTTAGAAAGAAAAACAGATGAACTCAATTACTGAAATAACGTCAAGGTTTTACCTTTCACTCTTGTCAATAATTTATCGGCAAGGAACATTCCTAGAAAATCGTTTGTAGCCAAGGTTTAAACCATTGCCAGTTTTCCCATAAGAAGTGTCATCCCCCTGCTAATTCCTAAAACTACTGAGCTTTTATACTGCAGTCAGGCCAAAAAATTGGATGCAATCAACCGTGAGTTTGTCCACCTGAATGCATTGGAGCGTGTTATCAATGGTTGCTATAAAAACGGTTTCTTTAAATTTACGCGTATTCCATTGAGGGTCCCTGTGGACAACCCAAACTTTCAACTACTTTATATATTGTGCTGTTTTGTCCAAATATAGTCCGCAATACCTGACTTCATTGTTTCGACTTTTTGTGTTCGCTAAGTCGCACATTTAGAGACACTTGGTCTCTCGTTTTTAGATGCACTCTTTCTCTTGTTTCAATGAAGGAAGCTCGGGTTGTCCACAGGGACCCTCATTGGAAAAAGCGTAAATTTAAAGAAGCCGTTTTTATACCAAGAATTAATATTACCTTTTTAGCAATCCTAGTACCGAAATACCTACCATCTACGATATGGCAACCGCTGATAAAACACTCCAATGCAGGCGTTCTATGTGGACAACCTCACGGCTGACTGCACCCAACTTTTTCATGAGTGAATACCTAACCGCAGTAGAATGTAGAACTAAACTCCAACCGTGGAGGGGTGTGTACCATCGGAGGAAGAACTGTTGTCAGAGGAGGATGGGAAATATCCTGTCCTCTTTACAACAGGGGTATGATGGGTTATAGTCTGTATGATGACTCAAGGAAGAGGGGCACAATAGATCTTTAAGGTCGCAGTGATTAACCCCCCCCCCTTACTCATTCTACATTCTAACCGCAGTATGAAAGCTCAGTAGCTTTAGGAATTAGTTAAGTTTACATTTGATAACGGTCAGTGATTCTTCTGACCGAAACGTTGTGTGAATCAATACATGGTGGGCCACTGAAAACTTACAATGGCTATAATTTTTAAACCAAAAAATATATCAAAAAAATACCGTCTCTATAATATCGAGGGGGAATACATATGACGTATTTTTTGAACCACCCTGACCTACCTTTTTTGAACCACCCCGGCACCACTACTCACTTGAAAATCTTAAATGGCAATACCCTACTTGTGGCGCCTTTTTGGAAAGCCCATGAAAAATGCTAAACGATGATCATAAAGTTTTTAGGGTGAAATTGAAAAACTGCCCCTTACACGAAAAATTAGGTGGACATTAATGAGAAAAGTGATTTTTTCAGCATAAGTTACAAATTGGGACCCAGCTAAATGAGGTTTTTTCAAACTACCCCGACCCACCCCTAGGTGCCACCCCTTCACTTCTAACCTCAAGATAGCAATACCCCACTTATGACACCTCTTTGGAAAGCGTATAAAAAATGCTGATCGACTGTCATAAAAAAGATCGAAAAAAATAGAGCCTAAAAATAAAACAAAAATGTCAAAACGTGTCAAAATTAATAGAATGAATTATTTTTGTATCCATAGCGAGAAAAAAAGCTGGTACAAAGAAATTTATTATAACTCTTAATGAAGACCTCATACACTTTCAGTAAGATGGAGCCCCTTCGCATTATTCTATTATCACAAGGCGGTGGTTGGATAAATATTATCCAAGGCAATGGATTGGCAGAAGGGGTCTAATCGAGTGGCCCCCAAGGTCACCTGATCTCACTCCTTTAGACTTTTCCTTGTGGGGTTACACTAAATCCATAGTCTACAAGACAAAACCAGGTTCGTTGCAAGAATTGCGGCAGAGGAGAACTGAAGCATGTCGAAATATTCCGAGCGAGACTTTCCAAAAAGTGAGAGAAGAATTTGAAAATCGTTTGTATTTTTGTATGGAACAAAACGGCTGTCATTTTGAGCAATTATTAAAATAAATTATCATTTTAAATTTCTTTCAAATTGTCACACCTACATTTCTTGTCACTAACCAGTAATTGAGTTGAAGTCTGTATGACCATCGTTTAGCAATTTCAATTAGCTTTCCAAAGAAGTGTCACAATTGGGGTATCGCTATTGTGAGATTAGAATTGAGGGGGTGCCACCTAGGGGTGGGTTGGGTTGGTTTGAAAAATACTTCATTTGCGTCATTTAGCTGGGTCCCAATTTGTAACTTATGCTGAAAAAATCACCTTTTTCATTAATGTCCACCTAATTGTTCGTGTTAGGGTAGTTTTTCAATTTCCCTCTCGATATTATAGAAACGGTATTTTTTATTTTTTTTATATCTTTTTTGGTTTAAAAATTATAGCCATTGTAAGTTTTCAGTGGCCCACCCTGTATAAATGAAGACAATGGAAGTCCGAAATTATTTTACTTTCATAATGTTTTATGTCAAGTGTCAAGTGCTGGTACTTTGGAACCGAACGAAAAATAAGTATATTACGTGTAAAGCTGTCTTTATAACCTTTATAGTAATGGACAATTCACCAATTCTGAGCAATTGAAAGACAAAATGATAAATGA